TCTTCGCACTCCATATATAGACTAACATATTTGCGCTGTTGCCCCCAACCACACTTGGAGTGGGTTGTTTCCGTAGGTGGATTTTTGACACGGGTCTTGCCCGTGTTGAGATTGCGCTGGAACCCCCATTCCCTATACTACTATAATCAATCCTTATGGCTTCATGTGACAATGTTATGGATTTGTCAATCAAACAGTAGAGATTTTAATAGATCATTGTTTTTGTTAAGTTAAATACAGTCTCTATATTAATAATAATTCTTTGATTTGTATAGTGCCTTATTCAATGTTCTAAGGCCCTTCACAATATAGACCCCTTGCATTGACTTGTTCTGGGGACAAAAACAAGCTGTCTTTTCTTATGCAAAAAAAATCATTTTGTTGCCCAGAACAATACCTCTAGGCGATTCAGTGCAAGGGGTCTATACCTTTTTATTCTATTAGTATGTACTAATAGAAAAAGAAATTATATTGATGCCATGCAGAGCCATGATAAGGCTCAAAGATACTTATGAATACATTATACAAAAGATACATTTAATGAATATATTATGCGTTTTTTTTTTGCTCTTTTTTTTTTTTTCTTTAAGGTGTAAAAGTTTTAGATTAAAACGGACATAAATTTACAGAAATTTTAATGTCAAGGTCAATAGAATTCCACAATTTTGTTGCTAACATAACAGTGTTTTATTTTGGAATTTTCAGAAGCAGCTGGTTAAAAGAACAACTAGGATTATATCTTCTTGTATGTGATCAGAATTTTGAAGATTATGTGGGCCTTGATAGGGAGCCAGTGTAAAAACCTTTACAACAGGAGTGATCTGGTTTTCATCTGTTTGTCAGAAGGTGTGCTGCAGCATTTTGCACTTGTTGGAGTTAAGACAGTCATTTTAATCAACAAAAACAGTTTATGAGATAAATATAGTTACATACTATAGTGAAAAAGGACAGAATAACGGACAGTGCCACTTAAAAAAACTAAAGAGCTAATTGAATAGGTGACAATCTTTGTGATTCATAATAAGTGGGGGAAAAAGCCTATTATTAATCCATTATTATGAAGTAATATACATATATTACAATTAAGGCATCCTCCAAGGTGGCTGATAGCAGGACAATAGAAGACGTAAGGTTAAACAATGACCAATGCCTCACTAACTGGCATGTTGATCACAGCTGTAATGATAGGGATACTTTTTCCTTGCCTAAGCACAAACACTTTAATGGTATCAGAAATACCTTTATCACTTATACACTCCACTAAACTTTCAAAAGTATAACAAAGGCCTGGTACAAGTAATGGCACAACAATGCATGGTTTTGCTAAAGCATAAAGAGATTCATCAAACTGAAATGTTATCAGCAAGTTTGTGATGGCAACACTTGGTGAAATGTTTTGCAGATTTACAGTCAACTTGAATGCAGGACCAATTCCCTGTATGTGGGCTGATAGCTTGAGTGGTTCCATAGCAGATGAGGACACTGGATTGAGGCTCTTTTGCAGTGCATTGACGTATGACCTGGCAGCAGTCAGTCGGAGAAGATACAAGTCATGCTGGAACATACGATGCATACTGACAGCACTTTCACGCTCTCTTAATGTCTGGTCAACAAACAACTTGGTTTTCTTTGGAACATTGAGTTTAACTGACTGTGCTGGAGGGGGTCCTGGTGTCAGGTCCTTACCTTCAAATGTAGCTGTCCTCTTCAATATCTTCACGTAAAGTCCTCCTACTGTTGTTATCAAAATCAGTGCACTGTCTTCTCTACCAAATCTTCCAAACCTGATAGCTGTGACTGGGTCATTTGTTTTTATTGTGCTTACAAGAAACTTGTCCTTGTAAACCCTTGTTTCTCCATTATTAAGGCTAACAAGTAAGCCTTTAAAGCTTCTAGCCTTATAGTCCATAATAGCCATGCTAACAATGTTCGAGGGAAGATAAACAGTCCAAAGCTTCTTTCCCTTGGTGGAATAGCAAGTCAAAGTATCATCCATGCACCCTATGATGATGTTTTTCCCTATGCGTTCCAAAGATACAGCTTGTGATGTTAATTCTATGCAGGCTTTAGCAGTCTTACTTCCTCTCTTGAGGGTATACACTTTCCCATCACGACAGGCAACCACTATTCTAAATTCCACATCAAATAGGCCTGTTACAGACATGAATGATGGAACACTAGGCAGACTCATCTTAGAAAGAACAGTGAATGCCTCAGGGTCTAAGACATATATATCTTTACTTTCTGTCCCAATAACAAGGCAGCTTACAGCATCATCATCAGCCATGCTTTTCTTTAAAGTGTTCATACAAGTAATCACTGTCTGCCGTTTCAAAGGGGCTGCTTCATAAATGCTAGCAAAGTTTTCCATTTCATCCAGTGGCAGAGAAAGAAATTTTAGTGATCTGACTGTCAATTCACCTTCACTTCCTTCATTCTTTAAACTCTCCAGCATTTCCTTGAGCATTTGAAAATCAATCTTGTCCTCCTTTGCTTGGTTCCAAAGATCTTGCTCAACTGCATTGACTTCAAGAGGCGGTAACGTAAATTTAAAGTATGGCCTTAAATTTTTATATACATATATAAAAGGCCCTGATGCAACGGCAACAGCTGGGGTGCGTGGATCATTGGTATCCATGTAAAACGTTACCAGTGCAGTTGAAAGGTCAATTATAGCACTTTCCATAAAGAGACTCGTTCCTTTGAACACCTTGAGCTTCATGTCAAAAGTTCCTGTACCAAAATCTGCCACAAGAAGCTTGAAGTCGCCATCTGCATTAAGGTCAGCCAATGAAATGGAAGAGGAAAAGGTATAGAGATTTGCCATAGGGTCTTGATGGGCATTCAACCACACTTTGTCACCGTCATCATTATTTTCCCTAAACAAAATAAACAGACATTAAGTTAATAAAATTCAAAATAGTTTTTATTGTGGAAATCATTGCCAATGAGCAGCCCAGTGAAGATGTGAGGCCGCAAGGTGGCAGCATCATAGAGCCGATGCAGGAGAATGTTATGGAGAATCAGGCTCAATTAGATGTGATGTAATGTAGCAATAGAATTCGATCTAGACCAATTGGATTCGAGTAAATTTCGACATAATTATCTCCATGTGCTTCATACATGCTTCATACCAAGTAGCTTACTTGGAGTTTAAATGAGGATATACACAGTTGAATGAGAGAGTTTATTTCAGAATGGCCAATTACATTTTCATTCTCGACCAGAGGTAGAAAGTTTTAAAGTGGTAAAATTTGAACATTTTTCCCCTGTTAGAAATAATTTGTACCATATCACCATTTTCAGTGAATTGATTTTCCAAAAGTTATCAATACTACATAAATAAAGTGGTACAAATCTTTGGGCTATATTTTACCACTCCACTGATTTCCAAAATATGATATGCACTAATATTAAAATATATCATTTCTCTACAAACGACAAATGAATCTGTTCAGAAACAATGTGCAAAAGCAATGCCTACCAATACAAGTCCATTTCAGATATTTGTGTTACTTAGCTCGTTTAGCTTTATAGTCGTTCTAGGTAACCTCTACTATTCTTTTGACAATGTACTTATATCTATATTTTTCTCTATTGTAATTTTTGGTATAAATAAAGCACATTGATTGATTGACTGAAGTGGTTATCGATCAACTATTTATATCTGGAAGACCAAATCTTTATGGCATTTTAGAGAAAGCTAGGGCTTGTAATAAATGATACTTCAATTTCATTCGTTCCTTCTACAAGCTTGTACTTCTAAGGAAAGGATATTGTCCTGCAAAGGTTTTAGGCGATCATTCTAGACTGGGAAATAGCAAAGCTAACTATAACTTGTGTGTGTTTACTTAATATAAAGAAACACTGCGTTGTCATGGGAGATATATCAAACATTCAACATTCAATCGCGTTTTACTATTTATCATTTGGGCGGCAACTATTAACGAATGATAGACTCTCTCCATACCTTTGATTCGCTTTCTCAGAAGAGCTTTCCATTATTATTCTTGCAAGAGTAAAGCAGAGTTCAATATGGTTTGAATACAACAAGAACCAAGATGGCGGACGAGCGAGCAAGCCCAGCTGCTAGTGCTAGTTTCTCACGGGCGGTGGTGTCCCGCGATACGAATTTTCATTAGCCAGCGGTCCTTTATATAATGCATCACGGCATCACCTCCGCTACGCTATAAAAGATATACCACTACCACTCTGGTCTTGGCCCGAGTGTGTGGTTTATGACTGAATTTTATGAGACGCAATTAGACAAAAATACAAAAAAAAAGCGTTTTAATGAACAATTTGCTGCAATTTGTACCATCAGTCTCCTGAAGTTTGAGTGGGATTTATTTGACGCTGTTTAGGGGTTTTCAATCCGCTCTAATCTCTCTCTCTATAATATTCCAATAAGTTGTCCGACCTAACTGGATGAGGGTTGTTTGGAGTTGCAAACATGTGCTACCAGTAAAAGATTAAATGTCAAATTGCGGGTATAGAAACCTTTGTTATAGCGGCGAGTCCCTCCATGTGCCGCGGTACCAGTTACGGACTTCATTCTCCGGTTAGGAGTTAACTCTACACAGCAAAAAGAGGTTTTGATCTGAATCATAATACAGATACAATGATTTTATTTTTCAGTTTCCCTTTTTCCTTCTTGTTCGGTGTATATTTGGTTCAGGGAACACCGTCGCAGTCGACATCAAATACAAGTTCTGTGGATGTCTTTACTTCCGTGGAACAGTTGAAAGGCCTATCAAGACTCGAATCGTTCCTCAGCCATTTACTAGATGAATATGTAAATGGTAAATACCACATTGATGCACTTCAAGTAGTTAAAGACTTTTCAAGTGAAATGAAGAAGATCCAAAAAGCCAAAGAACTTGTTGGTATTGATTCATTCATTGGTCATCCATCTAACACATTTCTATTGGTCAGACGCTTCATTAAACACTGGACAGAGTTATCGAACTACTTGAATAAAGGCTCAGAAAATGGTGAGTCCTACTTTAAAGCTTTATTTAAGTCAGTATTGATCAGTGCTCCCTCGTAAGGTTCAAAGGCGAGTCGCTCGATCGGGTCTTTCTGGTGATTGCACGGTCCCTAACCTAGAATGAAGGGAGTACACAGTAGTATTTAGTTGAAAACTGAACTTATTAAATCTTCATTTCTTTTTAAGAATTGCAGAAAATTTTGAAGGAGAACAAGCCTTCATTCCCTTCGTCACGTGACTTGTTGGGATGTGCTACGGCTCTATTGCGGATACAAGATATTTATCAGTTCCCTGCTAAGCAAATTGCTAAGGGCCACCTTAATACAAATGATCAAGGACCAAAGCTAGGAGCAGACGAATGTTTTGACCTAGGTTACGCCGCACATACATGGAAGTACTTCGATCTAGCACGTGATTGGCTGAAAGAAACATTATTGCGCATGAGCCAAGAGTATGGCTACAAAGGTGTATTGAAAAGAACAAGGGTGTTGGAATACCTAGCCTGGGCAGAGTATCAGGTATAGGCGTATATATTGCAGAAAAAAATATAGTTAATATATTGTTAGAATTGGACTGAAATAGCTCCGGGATCGCCTTGAGTACCACTCTAAACAGATAGTGTTGTGTTGGTTTAAAATGTGGCTAAGAATGGTAAATATTATGGACAATCAAATATCTATCTGATATCGATAGCCGATAACCATCTGTAGAATAATAAACTATCAATCAATTTGATTTGTATAACAAAGTTATGAATTTGTCTAAAGATGAACCAACATATCGCGTTGTTGTCGAAATACTATAAAGACTAAATTTTGCTTCATAACAATATTGATAGATTACTTCACGCGGTACGTTTCAGTGCATTTTGTTTTTCCTTTTTGACTTTTCAGTTCAGTTTATTTTAGTTTGTAAATATGTGACTCTGCGTTCGCCTCGTTCCTATGTTGATTATCATAATTTATTCAATATGGCGGCGGAGGAACCGTGAAGGACACTATTGTTTGTTTTATAAATGTAGTACGTTATGCCTCCAAATTAGCTGCGCTCTGCTCTTCATGGGCGCGGAAGCGTTATGACACGCAACCGTTCTGGTGTGGTGCGCTCTCTGAGTTTAGCTCTATATCCGATTCAGATAGCTTAAAATTATAACTAGCTTTGTTTTACTACAATAAAAGAACAATGATCAAAATACTACTTTACTGCGTGCGTCGAAGTAAGGGCTGCCTTGCTGATGAAACTTAACACAGGTTTATGAAATCATCAGGTCAGGGAAAGCGATAGCATTCACGCAGTATTTTTTTACACCTAGTTTTTGGAGATATATGATTTATTTAAAGGATAAATAGGTTATACATATATGGCCAGCTGAGCGGTGCATTTTTTTTCAGCCAATCATAGCGCGTTTAGCTTATTTGCTGTCGACTCTCATTCCCAAGCTACTATAACCCGACTTTTGCGTATTTTTCTGTTTTGTTTTGACTAAAATATAATGTACGTGCCTACGAGAAGCAGAAATATGTAAAGGAAGAATAAAAACAATTTCGCTTCGTCTTTCAAGCTCCAAAAATGCTTAGGGTCAGTCATTTTGTCCCCTCATGCTTTGCGCGCCGCGTTCACCACTCAGCTGACATAAAGTAGCAAAGGTATGCATGGCACGTGATGATTAATTATAATTAATTTCATGTTTTTTCGTCGCTCGAAGTTGAGTAGCTCGAACCATGCCAGCGAGAAGGATGTGTTTTCTTCGTTCTAGAGGTTTTGACCAGACTAGCGCTTCTTGTTAAAATGAGAAAAGAAAACACTGATAGTAAAGATAAACTGTGTTGTTGCTGTAGAAAAAGTCTTTTAAAAGCCAACATTTTATTCAGAACTCTGTTTAAAAACTTTCGAAGCTTTGTCGCGGCGCAGCCCAACGCACGCGGCTTATATTGTGCAAAGGTTTTCGATTAAAAGGTATTTTGTATCTATTTATCATTTTTGCGAATATACTTACTCATTCTTATTTCATTTTTTTAGACAGGCAACCTTCCCGAGGCAATTAAACACACTCAATCGATTCTGGAAAAAAGTAAGTAAGAGTTCTTTACCTTTTTATTCAGTTAGCCTGACATTCGGTCCTGGTTTTTCGCATTCTTTCTATATTAATGTTTTTACTCCACTATGTTTTCGTGGGCCAGAATATTAAGCGAATTGCCTTTTTTACGAAATGTCCTTAGAAGGATCTTAGCCGCACAATCCCCAAAACAACCCTATATATGTACAAAGCTTTTTACTTTATTACAACTTAATGGCTTACTTATAGTAATATTGATCTTTTAGAGCCCAAACACAAGAAAGGAATGGAAGCACTGAAGTCCTACAAAGCGCAGCTTAAATACAGGCAAACGTACATTAATAATTTGGACGCAAGATTGCAAGCAAATAACAGAGAAAACCAAAAAGATGAAGAAATCAAAGCTTACGAACGACTGTGCCGCGGAAAGATCATTCAGGCATGTAAATTGTTGACAACTTTTTTAATATTAAGCCCTATTTTGATGCAAGAATCATTCGTATAAACTTTTCCCGACAAGAACACGTACTTCACTATATGTTAGAACAGTTTAATCTAAAGGAATGGATAAAGATTTCTTTGTTTCATGTTGTCTTTGTTTCTTGGCTAAGAGTTTTCCCGCCAAAACCTTAAGAGGCAATGTCCACAAGAATCGAACAAATTCAAGAATTCGTGGCAAGGGTCAAAAAATCAAATTCGCTCTTCTTTTGAAGTTAGGTAGGCCATCATTAGATATGAATCCCTGGGTAGTTGGTTTTCGAAAATATTATTTTATTTCCGAGAAAACGGCCACAGAAGAGGTTCGACCGAAACCCAAGCAAGAGACGCACAAGAGGAGTGAAAATGGACAAACTTTGAACAGAGCGCACGTCAAAAATAAACCATCTATGACAATTTTTGAACTTTCTTCTTAATGTATCACCCTTTTTCGTTCAT